GTCTACACATGTTCTAGTATACTAGACTCTGTCAAATAGTTTTTCAAAGTGGCTGTATAAATTTACACTCATGCCAGCATTGTATAGAAATTCCAGTTGCTCTTCATCTATAACAACATTTGATATTGTAATTCATTTCTATTTGAGAAATTCTGATGAGTATGTATAATTAGATATGCCTTTTCATGATATTAATGACATTGAGCACATTTGCATGTTTACTAGCCACTTGAATTTCCTCTAACTTGAAAGTCTTGTTCAATATTTTGTGTACTAAGTAAATAGGGATACATGTTTTTATTATTGATTCAGAATGTTGTATATAACAAGAATATCAATACTTTATTGGTTACATGTACTTCAAATATCTTATGTGACTTTGCAAATTTCATTTTCACTCTATTAAAGATGTCTTTTGACTAACATGTTTGCCTATTGCTTAGCTCTCACTTACAAGTAAGTTTATGTGATATTTAACTTAGACTTGCTCTTCTTTAAAATAACTTTTGTTCTCCTTGACTTCTTGTATTTTCATATTTCATACCCCTAGGCATAGTAATTCTTTCTGTTGACATACAGAAATAGAATTTATTTTTGTGTTACAACTTTGCATAGGGCAATTGTATAAATACATTTCATTTTAAATTATTATATTTACCTGCATATTCTCATAGAATTTCATTTTTGTGTCACTGTACTGTTTATCTATGTATTAAGGTATAATTGACAGAAATTATATATATATATTTTATATACAATGTGAAGTTTTGATATACAAATACGTTGTTCAGTAATTGGCACAATCAAGCTAATTAATATATCTGTCACCTCACACAGTTACCTTTTTTTCATGTGTGTGTGGTGAGAATACTTATTCTCTCAACAACTTTCAAGTATAAAATATGTTATTGACCATAGTCAACATTCTGTACACTAAGTACCTAAAACTTTTCATCTTATAACTGAAAGTTTGTACACTTTGACCAAAATGTTCTCATTTCCCCCACCTTCTTGCCTCTGGCAACCACTCTTCTACTCTCTGCTCTTATAAGTTTAAATATTTTAGATTCCACATATAAGTTAGATCATGAGGTATTTATCTTTCTGTGTCTGATTTATTGTACTTAGCAAAATGTCCTCTAGTTTCATCCATGTTGTGAATGGCAGCACTTCCTTCTTTTTAAAGGCTGAATAATATTCCACTGTAAAAAATATATATATACCACATTTACTTTAGTCCTTTGTCTGTTAAAGGACATTTGGTTGTTTCATATCTTAACTATTGTAAATAATACTGAAATGAACATGGGAATTCATATCTCTCTTTGAGATAGTAATTTTATTTTCATCGGATACATACTCAGAAGTGGAATTGCTAGATCATATGACGGTTTTATTTATAATTTTTTGAGGACATTCTATACTGTTTTCTGCAATGGCTGTACCAATTTACTTTCCCACTAACAATGTATGAGGTTCCCTTTTTTTTCTTTGCATTCTTTCCAACACTAGCTATCTTTCAATTTTTTAACAAGAGCCATTCTCATAGGCACGAGGGAACATATGATTGTGGTCATCTGCATTTCCTTGATTAGTCAAGTTGAACACCTTTTCATACACCTTTTGGCCATTTGTTTGCCTTCTTTGGAAAAATATGTCTACTCAGATCTTTTAACCATTTTAAAATGATGTTATTTATTTCTATTTCTATTAAGCAATATGAGTTCCTTATGTATTTTGGATATTAACCCTTTATCAGCTGTATGGTTTACAAATATTTTTTCTCCTTCTGTAGGTTGCCTTTTCATCTTGTTGATTATTTCTTTTTCTGTGTCCTTAACAAATTAAGGATAGAAGAAATGTACCTTAGTATAATATAGGTCATATGTGGTAAGCTCACAGCTAACCTTATACTCCATAATAAAAATGCTTTTCTTATAAGCTCGGGAACAAGATAAGGATGTCTATGCTCATCAGTTCTACTTAACACAGTACTGAAAGTCTTCGCGAGACCAATTAGGGAAAGAAAAGAAATAAATGTCATCCAAATCAGAAATAAAGAAGTAAAATTATTTCTGTTTGAAAATTACATAGCACTATATCTAAAAAATAAAAACTTCACCATTAAACTAATAATACTGCAAAATGAACTCAGTAAAGTTGCAAGGTACAAAATTAACATATACAAATAATTCTATCAAAAAGATTTATGCATTTGTATGGTCATTGCCATGCTATTCACAATAGCAAAGACATGGACTAAACCTAGAAGCCTATCAATATTGAATTGGATAAAGAAAATGTACATATACACCATAGAATACTATGCAGCCATAAAAGAAACAATATCCTTTGCATGAGAGATAGCCTTTGCAGCAGCATAGATGCAGCTTGAGGCTAAAATCCTAAGCAAATTAATTCAGGAACAGAAAACCAAATACTGCATGTTTCCAGTTATAAGTGGTAGCTAAAATATTGAACACACATGGGCATAACGTAGGAACAATATTCACTGTAAACTACTAGAGGGGGAAGTGAAAAAGGGTGTCATGGGTTGAAAAACTACGTATGCAGTACTATGCTCACTAGCTTGGTGATGTACTCCAAAGCTTGGCATTACACAGTATACTCATGTAACAAGACTGCACATATACTACCTTTATCTAAAATTAAGAAAAAAAGAAATTTAAAAAATTGGTTGCATTTCTATATACTTACAGCAAACTATCTGAAAAAAAAAAACATTAAAAGTACCATAAAAAGAATGCAATATTTAAAAATAAATTTAAGGAGATTAAAAATCTATAAACTGAAATCTACAAAACATTGATGGAAAAAATTGAGGAAGGCAAAATAAATGGAAACATATACTATACTCATGTACTGGATTAATTAATATTGTCAAAATGTCCATATAGCTCAAAGTGATCCACAGATTCAATGAAACTTGTATCAAAATTCCAGCAGCATTTTTCACAGAAATAGAAACAGAATTCTAAAACTTATATGGAACCAGAAAATGTTCTAAATAGTTAAAGAAATCTTCAGCCAAAAGAACAAACCTGGAAGAATCACTCTCTCTGATTTCCGTTTATATTATAAAGCTACAGTAGTCAAAACTGTGTGGTTCTGCCATAAAAGCAGACACACTGATCACTGAAACACAATAGAGAGCCCAGAAATAAATTCATGCATCTATGATTAATTGATCTTTGTCAAGGGCACAAAGGATACACAATGGGGAAAGGACAGTTGCTTCAACAAATGGTGCTAGGAATATGGGATCTCCACATGCAGAAGAATGAAACCGGACTTTTATACCACACACAAAAAATCAACTCAAAATTGATTAAAGGCTTAAATGTCAGACTTAATTAAAGGCTTAAACTGTAAAATTTCTGGAAGAAAACACAAGGGACAAGTTCTCTGACATTGGCTATGGCAGTGGTATTTTAGATATGATACCAAAAGTAAAGACACCAAATGCAAAAATAAGAAACTGGGACTACATCAAACTACGTAGGTTCTGAACAGCAAAGAAAACAATCAGTGGCCGGGTGTAGTGGCTCATGCCTGTAATCCCAACACGTTGGGAGGCCACTGCAGGTGGATCACCTGAGGTCAGGAGCTCGAGACCAGCCAGGCCAACATGGTGAAACCTCATCTCTACTAAAAATACAAAAATTAGCTGGGTGCGGTGGCAGTTGGCTGTAATCCCAGCTACTCAGGAGGCTGAGGCAGGATAACTGCTTGAATCCAGGAGGCGGAGGTTGCGGTGAGCTGAGAACATGTCATTGCACTGCAGCCTAGGTAAAAGGAATGAAACTCCATCTCCAAAAAAAAAAAAAAAAAAAGAAAGAAAGAAAGAAAGAAAGCAATCAGCAATATTATGATGTAATTTCTGTTACAAGCAGCAACTACTCTTTTGTGTGTTTTCCTTATATTAAGAAATATCTCTAATAAAAATATTCAGTAGAAGCAGAGATAGTGGGCACTGTTGTCTCATTAATGATATTAATGGAAACATTTCCTCTATTTTATCATTATTATAAATTTTCAAAGATACTCTCAAATTAATATAGTTTCTACTATTTTCAGTTTTATGTTTGAGAGTAAATAGAAATTAAAACCCAGGTCTTTGTGACTTCAAAGTCTGTGTTTTCTATTCTATCATCGACCTCTTAGGACTTTAATCACCACCCCCTCATTTTCCAGAAGTAAATATTTACTGCATATATTTCTTTATATCTATGTATGTATGTATGTATGTAGATCCGGGGATAGGGAAGGATCAGGAGATATGAATAGTGACCTATCCCAATTCAAAGATATCTGAAGTAATTTATCTTTATTTTTCTAAGTTATTTCTATTATTTATATTACTATGTATATAGAGGGTTTATACCGTAAAATCAAAATGTGATGTAAAGCTCATCTAATATTGTTGTTTTATGGAAGAAGAAAATGAGGCTCAAAAAGATTAAACCATTGCCTTAACCCATTTCCTGTTTGCCCTGAGAATACTGCATTGGCACAGAACTCCACTTTTTTTTTGTAAACAGGAAATGGGTTAAACTTTATACACACACACACACACACACACACACACACACACACACACACATACTTTCTCGTATGTACACACACATATGTGTTTACGTGTATGTATATATAAGTTTAATAAAAAATAACTGCAGTAAATTATTTCTAGAAAATATTCATCATAAAAGGAGTATTAACAGTCCAGGAATTCTAAAAAAGATAATGCAGCATTTGTAGCGTTGATCTGACAAAACAAGTATTTGCAATGCATAAAAACAATGCAGCTTGTGCTCTTGAAAGTTTCAATATTCACATAATTTTCTGGAGACCAATTGGTATAACTTTTGCACTGGATATAGGCTAATTTGAAAAAGAAATTTTCAATACAAACAATCAAGGTCACCTAAAGTCCTTCTTTCTTCCTTTTTTTTTTTTTTTTCTGTCAAGGAGTCTTAAGAAAAGGACAAATATGTTTATAGAACTGAAGTTCTAGCTAGGAAACTTTCATGAATATAATTTACTGCCATATCTGCCCACTCATACAGTTTTGGAATATGAGTATCTACTCAGAACCTTTCTCAGAGCCATCTTTACTTCTTTATTTCTCAGTGTGTAGACAAGAGGGTTGAGTAGTGGGGTAATCACAGTATAAGTCACTGCCACAAGCCGGTCCTTATCTGAAGAGTACAGGGATGTGGGCCTCAAATAGATAAAGGAAGCACAGCCATAGTGGACAATGACCACTGTGAGGTGCGAAGCACAGGTGGCGAAGGCTTTACGCTGCCCTTCCACCGAGGAGATCTTGAGGATGGTGGAAACTATGAAGACATAGGAGATGAATATCAACACAAGGGGAACCAGCAATACCAGAATGCTGAGGAAAAAGATGACCATCTCCTTCAGGTTGGTATCTGTGCAGCCCAGTTTTATGACAGGGGAAATGTCACAGAAAAAGTGATTGATCCTATTGGAGGCACAGAAGGGCACACTGAACACCAGGATATTGACAATCACAGAGATCAGGAAGCCACAAAAGCTGGAGGCTAGAATCAACTGCATGCAGGTGGCTCGGCTGACAATGAGTGTGTAGTTAAGAGGGTTGCAGATGGCAACATAGCGATCATAGCCCATCACAGCAATGAGAAAACAGTTGGTACAAGCCAAGCCCACAAAGAAATAGAGCTGGACTGCACACCCAGAGAAAGAAATAGTTGGAATTGCGGATAGCAGGTTGGTTAGCATTTTGGGTACAATGACCAAAGTGTAGCACGTTTCAGAGCATGAAAGGACAAAGAGGAAGAAGTACATAGGAGTGTGCAAAGCCCTGTCCAGGCGAATGACTGTCATGATGGTGGCGTTGGCCATCAGAGTGGTCAAGTAGACTAAAAGAAAGATAAAGAAGAGAAGGAGCTGCAGATCCCCCAGGTTTGAGAAGCCTGTAAGGATGAACTCGGTAATCATGCTCTGGTTCTGTCTCTTCATTGGTCAGTGGAATTAGACTTAGGTAACCTGAAATTGAGAGGAGACAGAATTTGACAAAAGTGAAATGACCCTAGAGAAACTCAGTTTGCATTTTTTTTAAAAAGCTGACAATACTGGTCTGAAAAAATATGTAACACATATTAAGTACATAGATCAGGGTATATGGAAGTATCAGGAACATGAATTGTGACATACCCCAATTCAAGATACCTGAAATTATTTATTTTTACTTTTGTAAGTTATTTCCATTCTCTGTATTCCTATTTGCCTAGAATGTTCATACTGTAAAATCAAAATGTGATTTAGACCTTATCTCATTAAATACTCTCATTTTATGAAAGAAAATGAAGCTCAAAAAGATTAAACTATTTGCTTACTCACATGACAGTGATAGTCCTTAAAAATCATTTATCTTTGCTAACACCTTATACAAATCTGATTCAGAAAAACAAAGCAAATAAAAAGTGATGTACCCAGTCTCTCATATACGTAACTCAAATAATGCTTGTTCAGGCATAGATAAGTATTTTAATTTCCTTAAAAGTATTCACATTCTATTTACCCATGATCAGTTGTGAAGACTTTGGGATGGCTCACATATTGGGGTTTCCCTTGTCATGAGTGTGTGGGAATCTGAGATTAAGAATCGAATTAACCTCAGAGCATTATGAGGCTTGAGCATTATGAGACGTGGGCTGAGATCTCCACCCTTTTGGCCCAGGCCTCAATCTCTGTTGCCTACATAATGCTCTAAGAACTTTCATCATTATCTGTGAGAAGATCTTTGGTCTGATTGGGAGATCAAATAAATGTTAAAACTTTTATATCAAATTATTTTTATTTTAGAAAAAAAGATCAAAAATCTAACTCAACTTGCATACAATTCTGTGAACCTCTTTATAGCAATGTAGGAAGTATTGTCCAACCTCCATAGTCAAGGACAAATTTTAAGGAGTCACTGACCAAAGAAGGCTGTTCCCTTGCTACATAGTTTACTTGGCTACTTCTAAGCTGAACTATGCCTCCTTGAAATAGTCACCCATTGTTTATGATTTGTCCTCTGCAGATACTTACAATAATGTTAACTTATTTCTATGAATGGCAGCTAGCCTTTAGTTATTGAAATAAAATGATCATATCTCTTTATGGGTCTTATTTTCCTTCGAATTATTTAATATATATTTTATGGCAATGTTTCTGGAATTTTCTTTGCCCTAATTACCATCTTAGGTGTGTTTGTTCTTAGCCTTAGGTCATACATCTGCCCCTCAGCTGTAGACGAGCTGGTTGGCTGCAGCCACCACACATAACTAACTTTGTCTCTCTGTCTCTACACACATTTTCTTTTCTACTTTTGTTATTCCTCACAATTAGTATTTATCTTGCCTATAAAACCTCAGCTTATTATTTATCCCCTGGGAGGCTTCCCTACCTAGCTGTCAATGACTGATTCCTGTTTGAATTTACTTCTCTGTCAGTTTGCCCTGGGATCATTGATTAGAATGGCAGCATAGTGAGGCTGGGAAGGACACAGGTTCTAGAGTCAGACTGCCTAGGTTGAGACCATGGCTTTGCCAATTTATAATGTTGGGGAAATCGCTTTGGGTCTCACGATTTAATCTCTAAAATGGCAACAATAATAGCATACACCAAAAGGCTTGTGTGAGCACCAAACGCCCACAGTGAAGTTCTGGATGTATAAGTGGTCAATACATGTAGGCTGTTAAACATCTAGTCAAGTCCCCTCATATTACAAAGAAACAGAGGCCCAGAGAAGTAAAATCTCAAGATGTAGGTTGCATAAGCTATGAGGCAGGAACTGTATCCCAAATACCTTAAGTCTCCCATTTAGGGTTTTGTCTTTTGAATTATCTGGGTTCTAGTTTCAATATTTCCTTTGTACTGTGAGTTTATACACCAGTGACTTAGGAAATAGATTGACGCCTTCTTTACTCTGTATGATCCCCATGGGCTTTCTGTTCCACTCTTCCATCCACTCCTACCTCTTATCCTTCCACCTTACTCCACCGTATATTTTTCCTGATGCCAAGGTACATATTAGGAATTTTCTCCCTATTTCCTAGTTTAGGTCTATTTTAGGAATATATTGCCGTTTACACTCTTAGTTATTCTCTGCATTTACTCTCTCTCCCATGCTCACATGGTCAGGGTTTGTGTGCTGCATCTTTGTCCTCTCCATATAATCTCTGTCCTGTCTCTCATGCTGGATTCTGATGCTATGGCCCACTTCACCAGTGCATGGTTTCCATGAATTCTTCTGCCTCAGAATCTTTCTTTGGTATTTAAAATATTTTTAGAGAAAATTGACAGATATTACTCATAAGAAAGAGGGTAGAGTCCTACATCTATAGTACAAAGGAGACACTTACATCTACAGGCAGTTTTAGCACAATCCCATGTTCCTCATATCCCATCAAAGTCTAAAGAGGAGAGAGAAATAGGCAAACATTTAAAAACTATCAGATAGCGTATTTCTCCTAGATCTTACTGGGGAAAGTCCAGGGGCCATTTGCTTTTAAAGATGAAAGACAGCTCTGCCTGGTCTGTGAGCTGGAAGTAATTGTACAGCCCCGATCTTAGCAGCTCTGTGCCGTTGACAGCACAGGCTCCAGCAAAATCCCTGGGTCTTATACAGTTGTGGTGCCTCAGGGGATTGAGACCTTCGAGGAAGGTTCTTCCTTGGACTCTAGGCATTAAAAATGTAATATTCAACCTTAAAGAAAGAAAAAAAAAACTGAGTAGCTAAATTATGTGGTTTACTTGATCGGGTAAAAGATGAATAGCTTAAATATTGTAATTTTTTGCATTGGTCATTCATTTTGGAGCAAGATTACATTTGCTGAATGAAGTGATGATTGTGACTTTCTTAATCATTAGCTTTATAGATGCTAAATATAGATGAACTGTTTTAAGGAATAAAATAAATGACATTCTTGACAATTTTTTTCGTCCTTCTTAAAGTTGTTAGTTGAATTATGAGATTATTTTTTCTATAACTCTCTTGCTTTATGAATAAGGTGTACTGGAATCATAAGAGGGCATAAACTCTAACATTTTCTACATTCCACTACATGCTTGATTTATCTCTTCAAATACATTAATCAATGTAGACATTCATCAGGGCATTCATTAGTCCATTAATTTAATGAATATACATTGAGTACCTATAATACTTCAGGCACTCTGGTGAGGGTTTTGGTGGGGAAGGTGGCACAATGATGGCTTCATCTGTACCAATGGTGATTTATGAGCCCGTATACATCTGAGCCTCCTGAAGTGCACGTGAAGATGCATATTTTGGGGCTTTACCCTAGGATCTCCTAAATAAGAAATATTTTAGGTGGAGCTTGGAATATTTTGCAATCAGTTTATGTGATTTCTTTGATTTTCAGAAAGTTTAGAGCTACTGACTTCTTTCTGATAAAAGCTTGATGTTTAGAAGATGAGATAAATAAATAAATAATTAATTACAGCAAGCAAAGAGGGCTAAGCTAGGGAAAAGCACAAGGCACTACAGCATTACTGAGAGGAAGTACAGTTCTCACATTTAGTACCAAAATGAGTGGGTCTCAAACTCCTTAAACTCCCCTTACACCTTTCCAGTCCAATCCAACAATATTTATTTTATTTTCTTTCTTTCTTCCTTTTTTTTTGAGACAGAATTTCGCTTTGTTGCCCAGGCTGGAGTGCAGTAGCACAATCTTGTCTCACTTCAACCTCTGCCTCCCACGTTCAAGTGATTCTCAGGTCTCAGCCTCCTAAGTAGCTGGACACAGGCACGCACCATTACACCTGGCTAATTTTTGGTATTTTTAGTAGAGATGGGGTTTTGCCATGTTTCCCAGGCTGGTCTCAAACTCCTGAGCTCAGGCAATCTGTCCTTCAAAGTGTCAGTATTACAGGCATGAGCCACCACGCCCGGCCACCAATATTTCCTTTTGCGAAGGATTCAGAATTTTTTTTTGTGGTATTAAAAAAAAATCATATATTTACTGTGTTTCAATTTTTAATTCTGAGAAATATGAGATTTTCAATTAATATGGGCTAATACAAGTAAATTTTCATGACATATGAGTCTCATTATTCCAATGTTAATGTGATTTCTGTAGAGAAAGAAACGTATATTTGGAACTAAGAATTATTTACATTGATGGGTCATTTTAGACATCAAAGGGCTGAAGGGCTATCACAGCAAACCTTTTTTTCTACCCGTTTTTCATATTAGTCATCATCCATTCATTAGCTCAGTATCATTTCTATTTTACAGAAGAAACTCAAGGACCTCACAGTAGTCCTGTTGGGCTGAGGAGAGGAAAACTGAAGTTTGAAGAGGCTGAAGCAACTATAATTAATGGAGCAAAATACTGGAGAGGAAGATCAATTTAGTGAAAGAGTTCCAGAAACATCCATATGGGTACCTTTGCATAATGAGCTGATTACTGACATGTGTAAGCATAAGGTGAAACTCTGTAAGACTGGGCAAAAGAGTACTAGGAGGCTCTTAGCTAACTAATTCCTAGAACTCACAGGAGGTTGGAAGATGTTTGAGTCTGAACAAGCTGGGGTGGATAAATGTCAGAGAACAACTGAGACCTCCAGTAAAGGTCTCAAAATCTCATGACTTAGTAATAAAGATAAGCTAGGTCTCAGTAAAGCCCACTCTCGAACTGCCTTAACTATACTTAAATATAAGCTTCACCTGACATATTCTTTGTGGTCCATTGATTTTCAACAGACGTGTAAGGCAATTTAGTTTGAAAAGTCTTTTCAACGAATGATGCCAGAGCAACTAAGAATCCTCATGTAAAAAAAACACTGTAAACATTAAACCTTCCTGAATGCCATAGATTAACTCAGGATAGATCATACACCTAAATATAAAAATTAAAACAGTAAACATTTTATGAGAAAATATTTGTTACATTAGGATGTTTTCTTTTTAAAGAGCACAAGAAACACAAACCAAAGGGAAAAAACCAGATACATTAAATATTATCAAAACATCAAACTTAAAAGCTTGTGCTTTAAAAAATACAACATTAAGAAAATTAAAATACAAGCTACAGATTGAGAAAAATATTTGTATGATGTGTATTGCATATGGCATTTTTTATATCCAGAATGTATAAAGAATTCTGACAAATAAATAATTAGAAGTCCAATTACCCAATGAGGAAAAGCAATATACTGGATCAGATTTTTCTCACTCTCAAATACACATAGACACACACAGACAAATAGACACACACACACACACACACACACACACGCCAATAAACACAAAAAAAGATGAATGACGAACATCCACAGAACCATGATGGACACCGTTACATACATTTTAGAATTTCTATAATACAAAATACTGAAAATAGCAATTGTCAAGCAAAAATGTGGAACAACTGAATCTTTTTACCTACTTCTGGGAGTGCAAAATTACAACTACTTTGGAAAACAATTTGGTAGTTTCTTAAAAATTTAAACATTCAACCACAAAGTGACCTGGATTTCCACATATTTACCCAAGACAAGTGAAACACATGTCTGCAGAAATACTTATACACAGGTGTGTATAGTAGTTTTACATGTAGCAGCCAGAATTTTTAAACAGTAAAAAAACCCAAAGTGCAATACATCCATACAATGGAATGCACTGAGCAATAAAAAGAAACAACTACTGATATACAAATACATGAATAAAATTTAAAGTCATTATGTTGAGCCAAAGAGGTTTGACAAAAATGAATAGAAACTATATTATTTCATTTATATACAATCCTGGATGACCGAAAGTTAAATTGTAGTGACAGAAAGTAGATCGGTGATTTACTATAATTTAGGACGGGAGGAATAGATTGTGAAAGTGCATGGGGTAAAAATAAATGTTTGCTATTTTTATGGTAGTGCTAATTTCACTTGTACTACATTTATAAAAGTTCATCAAATTGTACATTTTAAACATATGCAGTTTACTCTAGGTAAAATATATCATTAGTTAAAAGAAAAATCTTTAAAGGGAGAGATTTATCTAGAAATTACAAATGTTATAAGTATATACAAAGAACATATAAAAGAGAACCAAATGAGACTTAGTAATTATTGAAGTAAAATAGACATATAACATTCACCATCTTTATCATTTTAAGTGTACAGATCAGTGTTGATAAACACATTTATATTCTTTTATTTTTACCTTCATTTCCTCTTCATGTTTTCCTTCTCAGTTTCTTATAACCACCATCTTGTTCTCTACCTACCATAAGATCCACTATATTTAGAAGACCCCATCGTTTCAGCCCAAAACTTTTTTAGGCTGATAAGCAATTTCAGCAAATTCTCAGGATAAAAAATCAATGTGCAGAAATTACAAGCATTCCTATACACCAACAACAGAGAAACAGGGAGCCAAATCATGAGTGAACTCCCATCTATAATTGCCACAAAGAGAATAAAATACCTAGGAATACAACTAACAAAGGATGTAAAAGATCTCTTCAAGAAGAACTACAAACCACTGATCAAGGAAATAAGAGAGGACACAAACAGATGGAAAATATTCCATGCTCAGGCTTAGGAAGAATCAATATTGTGAAAATGGCCATACTGCCCAAAGAAATTTATAGACTCAATGCTATCCCCATCAAACTACCAATGACCTTCTTCACAGAACTGGAAATGTTTTCTAATAAAAATAAAAGACAAGGTGGAACACTTAATTTAAAGGTCAAACACAATTGTTGAACCAAGTAGTCTCTCAAATCTATAAAGAAAAAATGTAATAGGAAAATAAAATAGATAATTTTCAAAAGTTGAACAACAATTTTTTAAAAAGTGTTTTACTGTCCAGTCTATCATCGATGGGCATTTGGGTTGGTTCCAGGTCTTTGCTATTGTAACCTGTGCTGCAATGAATATTCGTGTGCATGTGTCTTTATAATAGAATGATTTATAATCCTTTGGTTATATACCCAGTAATGGGATTGCTGGGTCAAATGGAATTTCTATTTCTAGGTCCTTGAGGAATCGCCACACTGTCTTCCACAATGGTTGAACTAATTTACACTCCCACCAACAGTGTAAAAGTGTTCCTATTTCTCCACATCCTCTCCAGCATCTGTTGTCTTCAGATTTTTTAATGATCACCATTCTAACTGGCATGAGATGGTATCTCAATGTAGTTTTGATTTGCATTTCTCTATTATGCAGCCATCAAAAATGATGAGTTCGTTTCCTTTGTAGGGACACAGATGAGCCTGGAAACCATCATCCTCAGCAAACTGACACAAGAACAGAAAATCAAACACTGCATGTTCTCACTCATAGCCGGGTGTTGAACAATGAGAACACATGGACACGGGGAGGGGAGTATCACACACTGGGGTCTGTTGGGGGGAAATAGGGGAGGGACAGCGGGGGGTGGGGAGTAGGGGAGAGATATTATGGGGAGAAATGCCAAATATAGGTGATGGGGAGGAAGGCAGCAAATCACACTGCCATGTGTGTACCTATGCTACAATCTTGCATGTTCTTCACATGTACCCCAAAACCTAAAATGCAATTTAAAAAAATCTTACATACAACACCAAAAAAAAGTGTTTTACTTCTACTATTAATTAAATAAATGTAAATGGAATCTAGGTATCATTTTTATATTTCATCTTGGCTAGAATTTAAAAGATTAAAGGTAACATTATATACATTATGGAGGAACTGGCATCTTCACATATTGTTAATGAAAGTATAAGTTTTATTACCTTTGTAGAGATAGTGTGCTAACGCAATGCATATTAAAATTTGAAATGAGAATATATTTTGACTCAGCAATTTCATTTTGTGGGTAATGTGCAATTTCTCAAAAAACAATTTCATTTACCCAAACTCTGAGAAAACTATTAAAATTAATAATATGGCATTTATAAATTTGTTGCAAATATAGACAAGAAAAATCAAAACTCTAGCATCTATTGCAAAGATTGAGGTAGGTTTACATATTGTTACTTTTTGAGAGTAAATAGAAAGCTGTCTAAGAATTTAAAACAGGTTTGGTAGAGAAAGTAGAGGCTTATATACATATTGGAAGACTAGGAGAATAGATGTCAGGAAAGCTGCCCTTGATTTCGGAATTGCATGGATCACAGGAAGCCCTCACAGATGGTCTTGGCTGCTGCAGTACTGATGGGTGATTCTCAGGAAATCTGAACTCGAAAGGCAAAAGTCCACATCTATCATCTGATAAGTGCTGGCATATCATGCTGCCCCAAACAACTGGCTTCCCTCTTCTCCCATCCACATGTTTCATGAATGCTCCTTCTTTGTGAAACCCTTTTGGCCAGGTGACATGGAAAGCGGACATCAGGATGTCCAGGATTTTTATTCCTACATTGCGGTATAGAGAACTTGGAAGTTTAAGTATGATACTAAGGACCAGCAAAACAGAGTCAGCACAGGTTTCCCTTCTAGATATTCACCATCCACATATATCTTTCTGTTCATGTTTAAATTTCCAAACAATAATGAATTTAATGCAAATATGCCTCACACAAAGAGGTACCCATACTTATCTCCAAAAAGGAAACACTGAGTTCCACAA